GATCCAATGGAACAGTAACCATGCATGCGCATGTCATTGCCACTTGTGCTATGGATCTCCATTGCCACCGCCAATGAGCTACAGATGCACCTTCACATTCGTCGCGGTATCCAATCAAATTAAGTTCAAACTAAAAAAACATGGGGGACCATTGAAAAGAGCTTGCACTGGATCGAAACATCATGAGAGATCTGGGACCAACTGATAGTCTGACACCAAGCTACTTACTAACTATACTTGATCAACAAACTAGCTACAGTACTAAAAGTGTTGTGCTATATACTGGTTACTATCATGCATGTATGAATGCGTGTGTTCCTTGGGAATAACTTAACAACAATCACATGCTAGGGACTAGAACAAGTAGCAGTAAACAAATCCAAACAAGAGAACAAACAAATCTGAATTTTGAAGTTCATCACCTCTGACCATTTGGAGAAATTAAGCAGAACCAAACACATTGCATGAATTGACCAGAGCTAGCTATATCTCTAGCTCAGTTGATAATTCAGTAGACAACAATAAACACACAGCAGCAAATTAGAAAATTATTTGACCATAACAACATATAAGAAACTAAGTAGCAGTACGAATTCGCTCTAATTAATCACCACTAGATAGCTTGGATCGTCATATGTACTAACCTAGCTAATGGCGCCAAGTGACTCCAATGGAACAGTAACCATGCAGCATTGCACCACGCCATTTCGCCATTGCCGCGCCATCAGTAGGGAGCGCGAGAGTGCGGCGCCCATGGGAACCCGTCGCCGCCGCCGCCGAGATGCCCATTGTTTGGTGGCATGTTGAACATCGGCATCGCCGACGGGTCGGGCATCCCGTGCCCGTGCCCGTGGACGTGGACGCCGCCGGCCATGAGCGGGTCGTGCGCCATCGGCGGGCCCGAGCCCTCGTCCTCGTCCTCCAGCGGCAGGCGCTCGTAGGTGGCGTTGGCGAACGTGGACGCGATCACCATGACGGGGCCCGCGGCGACGAGCGAGCCCACCACGCTGCCGCCCACCACCTGCCCCTGCCCGCCGGCCAGGTACACGGTGAGCCCCGTGGACCCCGGAGGCGCGGGCCCCGGGAGGAAGGTCCCGGTAAGCGAGAGGATCTCGAAGCGGCCGTGGAGGGCCACCACGGCGCCGCCGGGGGCCGACGGCTGGCGCAGCGCCACGTTGGCCACGGTCCCGGCACCGCTGAGCACGCACACGCCGCGCTGCCGGCGGCGCGAGAACTGTGCGATGGCGTCGCACACGTCGGCGCCGCCGGCCACCTCCATCACGTGGCTGCGCAGCGCGTTGGGGCTGTCGCGCGTCACGAAGATGGGCGGCTTCGGCTTGTTCTTGGACCCCGGCGGCCGGCCCCGGGGCCGCCGGTTCGGGGCGGGCACCACCGCGCCCAGATCGCGCGGCTCGCCGCCACCGACAGTCTCCTTGTTCTCGTCCGCGTGCTCGCCGCCACCGGACGTCGGGCTGGTCTCAGGGTCTTTGACGACGAGGGCGAGCGACTCGACCTTGGGGCCCGACGAGCCGGACGGCTGCTCCGGCGCCACGCCCGGCAGCCCCAAATGGCCGTCCCACCACCGGTTCGCCATGAAGTCTTCGGTCACCACATGCAAGCACAAACACACAGATCATGTAAGCTTCCTTCATAGTGCAACAAATACAAGTAGATCATAAGAAAAACAACAAGATGAATTTGTCTATCCTCTCCTCTCACAATAAGAAAAAGGCAGAAAGGGAGAAGAGATTTTTGTATGGATACAAATATTTGGGGAGATCTAATGCACAAGCATGAGCAGATATTCAATTTGCATACCTTGAAGATGAATCTAGCTAGGAGACCAAGTTGCACCTGTGATCTAGCTAGCTAGAGAGAGAGAGAGAGAGAGAGAGAGAGAGAGAGAGAGAGAGAGAGAGAGATAATGAGATAATGGGCTAGCTAGAGAAGCATTGGGGAGCTGTGGCTTTCTCTGAAGTGTGTAGAGGAGGAGGAGGCATGCAAGTGGGTATAAGAAAGGAGGAGGAGAAAGAGGGTTGATGGAGGCTGGGGAGAGACTTTGGGTGCCACTATAAACTAATCAATAATAATTAATTAAGCAGGGAGGCTTTTATCCAAGGTGCACCCTTCTAAGCTCACCCCCACCACCCCCCATGCATGCTGCTCCTAAGGGGTTTTTTCGGATTTCGCTTTGATCTGGCTGGCCATTGGTCCCCTATTGCCCATGTGAATTCAAATCGCGAGCTATATTCAAATCCCCCGGTACACGTTAAATTTTCACTCTAGAGTAGGGCTTTTTTTTATTCATACAAGCGAACCGGTCCCTATTCGTTTCTTTACTCCACATAAACTCTTCTATATCGCACACTTGACTGGTCCCCTACTGAGGTGGCAGTGCGCCGTTCGATAGGCGTGAAAAATAACCCCTAAAGTTTCTCCCTCCTTTATTCGTGGCTGAGAGGACTGGGCATGTCCACTAATTGTTAATATGTGTAAGTTGTGACGAGTAAGAATCTAACAGGTCGATCCGCAGCAGCTAGCGCTCTCATGTGAAATGACCAGTTTACCCGTCGTCCCCAATAAATTTTAATCGGGTGTGACATTTTCGGCTTCCTACCACCATACTACTTTAACTTGTAGGTTTGGTTTGTCCTGAAATGGGATGGTACATGATAAGGGTGGGGTGGGCATAGTGTTTTTTCTTTTGGTATTATGGATGGTAATTAGGACTGTGCTAGATGGAAGTATGTGTCTAGTTGGGTATTAGGGTTTTTGTGTGCGTTGGGGTGGCTGGTGGGGTGCATGTACGGTGCATGTCCTTTTCACAAAGCTCCCGACATCCCAACTAAACAAAACCAGCCTCACTTGCAGCCAAACTGATTTAATTAACATATTTCTTCCCTGGGTCCATATTAAGTGATATATTTCTTCACATGAATTGATTAAATTGACAATTGTCGTTTTCAGTGTCAAGATGAAACCGTATAATCGTCAACCTAAAATTTGTTTCCGAAGAAAATAAATAAATTTGACCTCTGCAAAAATTCCAGTGCATTGCACATATGTCCCGATAATCCACTGACAAGTTTCTTCTAATCTGTTAATTAACTAGGTACAAATCTTAGGTTATAGTTTGGATTTTATAGCGGGATATGTGTGTGCACTTTGCCAATCGTGGACATATTTATTTAGGTGTCAGTTATTGACTTCTCATATTGTTAAGAGAAGCTTCACAGAGTAGATTAGTTGCAATTGTTGATGCCCTTTCTTGTCGTTGTCAACTAATGACAAGAATACCATTATGCATTAATGTATGAAGCACAAAAAGGAATCATTCTACAATAATGTGTACAAGTTTTTCTACGTTTGATGTTTCCAGTTAGTTGGAGACAAAGTAATCAATCAGATGACATACTCATGAAGAACATCTTCAACTAGTACTTGGAACTCTTAATTAAACATGTATGCATAGAGTAGTCAAGGACTTCAACTACTGCTCACTTATTCCAACATGAGTTTAGTATATCTGTATAAATATATGGTTGCCCCAATGGCAACAGAAATGTCATGGAATTTATTGCCAAATATGTTGTTGAGGCGTAGAGCTAATTAAGTGCCTATTCAACGTTTCAGTACTCAGGTAGGCAGGATATACAAAGGGTACTTCAGGCTGGCAGAGTAATGAGATTTTTGAAGCTACCTACAGGTAGGCACGCTTTAACTAATCATGGCAACGTATAAAAACCGTGTATGCTTTTTATGTTAGATCTCTCTGTATGCCAACAAACAGATGATGATGTCCGGTGATGCTGAAATATATACGTGCTTTAACTAATCGGTGAACTTCATGACAGAAGATTCCAATTAATCACAACATATTTCATGAAATTAATCATTGTGATCTTGGTTAGATAAGATGTACCCGGTGATAACAACATGCTCTAGAAATTCTCAGTGTAAGCCCAAGTCATTCCAGCAATACTTTCACAGCATAAGCAAATCTTCATGTTATGTTTATTTGAAAAAAAAAACTTTTTAAGTAAATATACTAGTTGCAGAAATTACATTTGATTAATTACACGGCCTAGCATGTCCAAGCAACCTGCAGCTGACATGGGGAGAGAGGAAAATCATAGAGATGCACGCCTAACTCATGTGGTCCATGCATGAGATGCATCAAATACATATAGATATAGTAGAAGATATGCAAAGTACAGTAAAGATCCTGCCATGCTCATATGCCTCCACCCCACTCCAATCTCAAAAGGAAAAGGACAGGGCAAAAGCCAAATGCAACCAGTTAATTAAGCATGCAAACCCCTAGTCTCTTTTTTCTTTCCTTCTTTCCACAAAGCACTGCCCAGTAATCAATTAGGATGGTGGCACATCCCCAGGGATGGATAACCTAAGCTTTGTCAAACTTTGAAGGGGGTGGTGTGCATGACATATCTAACACATCCCTAACAATTACAAATGCAAATCGGGCACTAATGAGCTGCATCCACAGCAGGCAGTAGTAGATTAAGGGTTGTTCACATGCATGTATCTGGTGCCACTGGTAAAGAAATGAGGGTCATGCATCTGATTAAGATTGGCTGCTGCCTGCAATTATCTATGGTAATGACAGGTGTCCGGCGTCTGTTCCCACACGATTAGGGCATCTTCGCCTCAATAATTGCGCTGCGCCAGTTGTTAATCGCGCAACTAAACCACCCGCTGACCTCAAGTCTTGGCCTAAAAACTATGCTTACACAACGCAGCAGCTGCATTGTTATTTCGGTTTTGGACTTGTACCTATGGCCGCGGGCGGGACGCGTGTCGCGCTCGCGGCTACCCCAGATAAGCGTTCAAGTAAACTCCTGTCTACTGGTAACCAGAACCCCAGGAGAAAGATAATGAACTTGTAGTAGCAAGCATTCCAAGTATACTACTAGTAGTTATCATACATATAGCATGACAGTGCAAACAGGCAAAGAGTTGACTCCATATTCTGTAATTACTTACACATCACCAGAGCAAAAAGAAGAAGTAAAGGGTTGTAATCCACACACGGTGCAAACTAGCGACACTCGGATCGACATACTTTTGACAGATTAAGTACATACGACATGTAGATCGACCGGCGCAACCATTTTCAGCATGTTCTTGGGCACCCCCACTCCACACATAGCCTGAGGTGGGAAGAGGATGCAACCCAAGGAACCTTCTACCTGGTCAGGTAGTACACTAGCATGAAGAGCGCGACGAATGACGCCACGAGTGTCCCCATCCTCCTGCTCGACTTGGTCTCGAACACCTACGTTCAGGAAGACATGAGTCAGTCTCAGGAGAATACGAGAAGATGCATGGCGAGTTGGTTAATCCGGCCGCTTACTGTCTTGAATTTGTCCACTGTTCCAGAGAGAAACCCCCTTGATGAATCCATGTCATTCCCCTGAATAAGGTACGTCATGGTAAGATACCAGCAGCAGTAGATTCAGATCTTTGAATGAAGAAAAGGTTCACAGAGTAGATACAACATACCATTCTGTCCAGCATCCGGTTATGAGCCTCCACCTCTTCATTTATATCACCTGATATCTACAGAATGGTAAACAGCTTCAGTAATCCTCAAGCTGGAAAGGCTGCCAGCAGGCAGATACACACATTTGAGCAGAACATCAAGAACTACGGAAGCGACTGCTACTCATTTCATTTGTCATTTGAGAACTGAACCTTCAACAACTCTACTACTGAAAGCTGCTGGCCATGCCTAATTGCCCACATTGAGTCTCACAAGCAAAATTCAGACTGAGAACGCCAACAGTTAGACAAGAATCATCCCACGCTCTGGGCCCAAACGTTCCTCACGCCTTTTACTTTGCAGGCTACTCCCAGTAGCTCATCGAACAACAAAAGATTCCGTCAACAGCTCATTCATTCACTAGGTTACAAAGCAGAGCCAAATGTATCCCCACACTCAAAAGGAGTTGATCCAATACATATTATATGAGGAGGCTGGTCAAATTGCATCAGTTCAACCAAATAGTATATTACAATTCAGAAAAGCCGTT